AACTCTTTCCACTGCAGTATTGTTGCCTCTGAGGGGACCTACTACCGTTGACCCAAATGCTCTGCGGTAGGGGCAAAGTAAGAAGATTTCCAGGCCCAGATGGTGCATATTTATTGAACAAACATTTTTATCATTTTGGGCATTTGGTACGCGGTGGTTGCTCATGTTGCATGTAGTGTCAAGTTTAAAAAAATTTTAGAGGCGCGAGGATTTACTTATTAACTTACTGCAAACTTACCAAAGAGCAGTGCTGCACGCTTTTATCTCTTGTGCCTTTCACGTGATCGGAAGCCACTGAACGACGTCCCAAGAAGACCGGCACGCAGTCGGAGAGGATTTACTATTAACTTACTGCAAACTTACCAAAGAGCAGTGCTGCACGCTTTTATCTCTTGTGCCTTTCACGTGATCGGAAGCCACTTAACGACGTCCCAAGAAGACCGGCACGCAGTCGGATGAACCGCAAGCTGCCAAAAAGGATTCGGCGACTTCTGGAAAAAAGATCCCAACTCTTTTTCAAAAAGTTGACCACAGGGGACACAGAAGATGAGCTGGCATTTCGTAAAATGCGGAATCGTTGTAAGTCAGAAATCCGCCAATGGAACATACGAAAACAAGCCACCATTCTGGACCTCGCTCGAAAAAACAAAAACGTACTGTTCAAGTACATGAGACAACGCCGCAGAAACAAGCCATCTGCGTTCTCCTTGAGGGACAGAAACGGAGAACCGACGAATGACACAACAGTGGTATCTGAGGCTTACAGAGAACACTATGCATGTCTATACTCAGCCCCAGCGTCCTCGCCACATCCGAACTTGCCAACGCGGAGCTGCAAACAGCCTCTAACCGACTTGGTCTTCACGGTGGAGGACATTCGTCAACTCTTGGACAAGATCAACCCATTCTGCGCATTGGGACCCGACGAGGTCCATCCGAGGATCCTAAAAGAAACGTCCTCCACACTGGCAAAACATTTACACTTGGTGTTTCGTCAGGCGCTTCACGAAGGCCGCCTTCCCCCTGCTTGGAAGGAAGCGATTGTCACGCCAATCTACAAAACTGGTGACCGA